AGGATTTGAGAGCCTGCAGCTCCTACATCATTCCAGGCGGTACCTTCCAGAGCTGCGCGGGGTGGCGGGTGTCATCTTTACATCCATTCAGTACAAAGGATAACCCCAGCAGGAGGGAAGAACAGCAACGGAGAGATGCTGGTCTTGCGGAGCACCAGCGGTCAGGGATGGGATTACAAACCCGGCGTCTCATCGGCTCCTTCCCTGCCGGGCTTGCCAACATCGGCAGCGCAGGCCAGGAGCGCAGGTGGAGGGAGGACTCGGAGGCAGGTGCCCCCGATGGCAGTGCAGGGACCCGGGGACATATCCTGCCACCGCTTTCTTTGGCCTTCAGCCAAATGGCTTGGGTTTTCCGTGCCTGCAGTTTGCCACGCAGGAGGTATGACATTCACTCACCTTTATCTCTGCATCCATTTCATTCCGTATTGAATGAAAATGCCTTCAGTGCTAAATAAAGTACCCAGGTGAGTTCCCCTGGGATCCTGAGGACCTTCGGTGTTGTTTCTCAGTGACCTGGCATTAAGGAGGTTTGCATTCCTTTGAAGGCACCAGGCTTCACTTAAAGCCATGAGTTATTTGTACCTTTCATTTTCCATCATCCTCAGGAGGTAGTTTTGGGTCTTGGTGCAGATGCAGCCTAGGGCATGCACTGTGTTAATGTCTCCAGTTTATTCATGTCCCCATTCGTAAGAATATGTCTGTCTGCTACTGCTCAGACCTTTCTAGGCTGGACAAAAACACTGCTCTCCAAAGCTCCTGCATGTTACCGAGTTGATAAATCCTTTTTCATTGGACTTTGCATCCTACTTTTCTTATGGTTTATGCAACTTGAGCACAACCAAAACAGACTGACATGTATGTGTGTGTGTTTGTGATGAGCAAACCCAACCTCTTGGTAGCTCTTTGGATTGCTTTTGTAGAAGGAAGATCGGTTGCTTAGGGTTTCCGAGTACTTGACAGCTCAGTGGAAATGAGTGTCCAAACAATCAGTATGTGAGGGAGCCGTTGTTGGCAACGTGCTGGCACAGAACAAGGCTCTTTGTCTTCTTGCCCTGCGGAACCAGCTCACCGCTTTCTACGTCCTCGCATTCACGCGAAGCTTCCAGATCATGTGGTCCTCACGCATGACATCTCTAATGCCCCGTCTCTCACGTGGGTCTGCACAGCTGCAGGTCTTCAGGAGCTCATCACCACACACCCTTCTCTCTGGCCCGTGCAGATGCCACCTGGCTCCAGCCGCTTTGCTCAGTCTTCTGCACCAGCGTTTCCTCGCCCTGATGTTTGGAGCGTGTCATTCTACCCCACCCTCTTCTCCCTCACACCCTGCAAAGGCCTCCAAGCTCAGTGTCACTTCCAAGACATTCATCAGCCATTAAGGGGTGTCTAGGAGTAGCTTTCACCTCTCATCAGCTCACCACGACAGACTTGATCATGCTCCTGCTGCATCTTCAAAGTGCTCTTCATGCTTTTTCCGAGGCTGTTTACTTGTCATAAACATCTTCACATGCCACTTAACTGTCTTCCTTCCAGACTGATTTAGAGGGCTCTTTTCCTCCTCAGTGCCCTTTGAAACGCTTATGCCACAGGCTGCCAGATCGCTCGGTACTATCTGCTGGTCTCCCTGTGTCCATCTGTTGCCTCTTACCTTATACACAGACCGCAGAGTCTCTGGCAAGGGATACTTCTTGTGCTTAGTGCTTAACTCACACCTACTCATAGCCTCTGTGGCAACACAGGCGATCTCAACGCAGCACAGAAATGTAACGTTTATCTTTGGCAACCAGCGTTTTCTGATATCCCTCGTGAGCAGCGGGGCGAGAGCCCCCCGTGCAGCTCAGGAGCAGCTCACAGGGCGCACGCGGCCCCACACGGCAGCTCCTGCCCCGCTGCAGAACCCGGCGGGTCGCAGCAGCTCAGGCCAGCATGGCCACAAGGCTCACGGCCGAGGCGGTTAAGTAAAACAAGTGCCACTCTGCATTTTGTGGTTGCCAGCGGGTGTCAGACAGTTCGCACTTAGGTCAATCACTGGCAGTTATCTGTTTTAAGACATACAGGTTTATTTGCTGCCTAGGCCTTCAGAATCTGAAAGCTCTCTGAATTTTATTGGATTCTTTTGGATTCCAGAGTCCTCAGCAGAGAACCAGCTTGAAAAATGATAATCTTCTCTGGGGGAAGAAAAGTTTAGGGTAGATGTGAGGAAAATCCTTCTGATGCTAGAGATGGCAGAGCCCTGGTGTAAACTGCTGAGGGAAGAAAAGGTACCTGCAGCAGCTGAGGTCTTCAAACTTAAAGACCTTCTTGGAAAAAGACCTGTTAGGAAGGGGGTAGGTATGTTCAGGTTTTCCTTGGGCAGGGAAAAGGACGAGCTGAGTCCCCAGAGTCCTTTCAGCTCTGTCTTTCCCCAGCTCTCATGTATGCTGTAAACATTTTCCTATTCACATATTTAAAATTAGGGGGTTTGTCCTTTTCCAATTATACCGATAGGAAATCTCCAGAAAGACTTTTTGCCTTTTTTTTTTCCCCTCTAACCATTATATAAATCACTTCTAATGCGATCTAATATAATCGTAAGGAAAAAAAAAAAAAGCAAGTTTTCATTTACTGACTTCAAAAATGATCTGAGAAGAGTTCTCAGCCTTCTATTGATCATCACTAAATTGAGCTTTGGAGAAAAAAACCCAGAGAGAAGTCTTTACGTGCTCGCGTCCTTGGTTTTGTTTGCATAAGCAGAGCTCCCCTGCCAAGCCTGTGTAGTCTACTGAACACTGGCCTCGCAGACAAAGCAATTCCTCTTTCCAAGGCTGATTAGTGGTGACTGCGAATTTGAAATGGATTAAGTAAAACAGAGCATCAGGTTTTGAACTGTTCGACTAGTTGTTTCATGGAGAGCTATTTTCCCTGATGTTTATCAAAAGTCTTTTAAATATTTAACCCCTTTCTCCCAACAGTTTCCATTCTTCGAAACAGAAACCAAACAAAAACCCTGTGATCTGTGAGGCCATCTCTATGGCCTAGATACTGTCAACTGTATCTTGTCAATGGGAAAATGCTTGGGGGGCAGTGTCTAAGTGGGACTGTTAAAGACAGCTCTACTAGAAGATCAAATTTATCTATTGAGAGGTTGGGGCTGGAGTCTTTCATCATAAAAATAAAATAAATTTGGTGTGGTCAAATTTTACTGGAAAAAAATTGCCTCTTCATGCACACTATCAATGCCATTTAAATCATTTTAGGGTTAACTTCGTGGTGCTGAGAGTGCCTTGGGGTCCTCCTGAGGCATTTTAGGGTTAACTTCGTGGTGCTGAAATGAGGGTGCCTTGGGGTCCTCCTGCGTTTTTTTTTTTCTGTACTAAATGCCTTATGACCCCTACTAAAAGTAAGCGCTTGCTTTCAGAAAGTCTTACTCCAAGGGACTGAGAAAGATGGATAAATGATGGTGGGTGTAAGTGGGGAATGTTACTGTCCTCGTAGAGAAGAGAAACAGGCAAAAATCACTTGTCCTTAGGGAAGGCTGTAGCCAAACCTGGAAAATGAACCTAGATCTCAAGTCCTAGTCCAGTGCTTATCTACAGAAATATCTTATTAATAGACACTTACTGGACTCATCCTCAGGCCAGGCCTTGTCTGTGCTGCTGAACAGCAGGGGAAAAGAACTGGAATGGAAATAGTTTTACAGGTGATAGAAACGTGCTACAGCTGTATTTCCTTCAGAATAAAAGCAGAACTCTTTTCTTTTACAGGGAAGATGCTCCCCTAAAACAGTTACCTACATATTTTACATTCATAAAGGATCAAAACAAATAATCACTTCTGAAATAAAGCAGTAGAGCAGCTCTGGCAAAACAAAGATTGAACTCTGTGAGATTACTTTGTGGTTAAAGATTAAGATGCAGCCCTTGGTGATTTATTACATATTGAGCAATTATCCACGTGCAAACGCGTTACATCAAAAATAGAATTGAGGTGAGGGGAGCCCGTTACGACATGGTTGCCTTTGAACCGTTCATAGTGCAGCCCTATCTGGCCTTCATCTTGGCTACACTTAAGAATTATCAGTTACAGAAAACACCCCACAACTGGGTGTGGTACGAGCAGGTCAGAGGACAAGACCATTGCAACGAGATCCCCTCCTTCAAACAGCTCAGTAAAATGGGCTGCACTTGAAGGAGGGAAGAGAGGGGCCAGAGTAATCCCTCCCACCCCACCATTTAAATGGCACAGAAGCCAGAACTGTGGCAGCTCACCCAGATTTTTAATTGACTTTTGCCAGGAGAATAAAGGGAAGTTTGCGAGGTTGTAGTGGTGGATGAGGAAATAAGGAAATGAAGTATTCTCTAAACTGAGATAACAAGTGCACAACAGGACTGAACGGCATGGTTACATTTTTTTCAGACTGCAACCATGTCAGTGGAATTTAGAACATTACAGAAAGAGTAACTGGCAGCTTGACAGTTTCTTTTTTTCATAACTTTAAAAAATTTCTTAAGTATGTGCCTTACATAAAATCCCTAGAGCATCTGTTTGCTTATTGGTAGAAAAGTGGGATACATCTATTTTAGATGAGGTATGTAAAGGCTTTGTCACAGCAAGATCATTCAGCAGTGCTTTGTTACTGGATTACTTTATACTTTTCGGTCTTCAGAAAAGTGATCTAAGCAGCAAGATATATTTATTTAGTTCCAGATGTTGTGCTTTCATCACTCTTGGTGCTACATCACACTGTTACTCTATAATTTTCTATAATCTAATAAAACTTCAGATTCCTTATTACCACTGTCCCATGATTTCATTCTTTTGCTGTTAAACTGAGCATTTTCTGGATAAAGGGTGATAGATAAAGGATTCTGATAACTTAGCAAGAATATAAACAGCTTTATAACACAGGCCTTTTCAAGTTATTATCCATAAAATAATTTGTGTTTCCAAGGGGCAATAAAGCCATTTGTTTTCTGTCAGTTTTTTCACCGCCCCCCCCCCTTTTTTTTTTCTTAAAAGGGGATCAGCCATAGCAAAAATCATTGGCAGCAATGTCCAGAAGTCCAACAGATTTGATCCTGTCGTCAAGATGTGGGTATTTGAAGAGATCATCAATGGAAGAAAACTCTCAGAAATAATCAACAGCGAACATGAAAATGTGAAATATCTTCCTGGTTACAAGATACCTAAAAATGTGGTAAGCTGAATAAATCACTGGAATTGCTTGTTGTTTCAGTAGGAGGGGCAACCCCTGACAAACTTATTTACCTACTTTTAAAAGTGAAAAGCCTATTTAAAAGCAAATTTGGCAGTAGAAATTATGCCACAGTTCACTGACTATTTAAGTATGAACTACAGATTACTTGAGTTCTACCTGAATTACAAGTACTATCTGCTCTTACCTCATGATACTTGGTATGTAAAAGTAGGAAGTAATTCATTGCATCTAATTTGCTACCTAATTTATTTTTTTTAAACATTATGCTGGAGCAAAACTCACTCCTGTGAGTGCTTTGCTTGTTCATATCAAGCTTCAAGGTAATGCACTAGAAAAGATAACACGCCATCTCCCCCTCTGGCATCAATCAGCACGTCCATCTGCCATTTCAAGAGCTCTGTCCAGACAGAGCTGAGATTTTAAACCTACAGCATCTTCTGAGAAAAAAATAAAGGAAGTGACGGCCCTCCCTTCTTCTAGGAGGGACATCTGCAGGACAGCCAGCAGCCCTGGCTTACAAGAACATGAAGAGCATCGCTCTCATTCCATAGGTGATTTCAGGAGAGCAACATATTGGTATCTTTAATACTGCTCTAATTTCTGACAGCAAGAGTTATTTTTCATAGATATTATAAAATACTACATTATTTATTGCCTAAATAGCATATATTGCTGAAATTAATCTGCTTAGCTAACAAACAGCTGCTGAAGCAACGCAGGTGAGTTTTCCCCTGCTCAGGCTTTTCCCAGCTGGCAGGGCTTTGTGGAGCAAGGAATATCTGTTTCTGGCGCAGCTGCGGGTGCCAGGGGAAGCTAAGAGGCTGCGGCCTGGCCCTGCGTGCGAGCGGGTCCGCTCAGCCCCACGTAGTGCTGCAGTTGCAGATTTGCACTCGCATGGCCTGGCCCTGGCTTAGAGCCGAGCTGCCCTTGTTACTGGCAATGTTCAGCCGGTCAGCAAGCCTGTGTGCTTTAGGGCGGCCTCATCCTAACGGTAGCAAAGGCTTCACCTGCAGAACTCAGCTTGCAGGAAGGGCTGGAGGGCCCCTAGCGCCTCTTCACCTCTGCGTGAGGAAAAAAGCAACTTACTTCTTCCGTGCGTTGCTGCTCCTCATTTTGCAGAGCCGCTCTCTGGCTGTGCAGCGCTGTGAGCTCCTGACCCTGATTTGCCCTTTTCCCAGAGAAGCCGCTCTGCTGGTAGCAGCTCCCATCCTCCTGCTGGGAATCGCAGGGGCTCTGGGGTGTGGGCTCCCAGGTCATGTTCAAAGGCAGTCTCTTCTCTGAGTGTGAGGCAAGAGCAGACAAATTCACCTGTTGTTGTGCCTGTAACATAGGTTGAAATGTTGTTAATTGACCCTTGGATTTAGAGGAAGACACAACTTGCTAGCTAACAGGCATTAGGCATCAAGTATGAATTATTGTAAAGGTCAATTTACTGTATGTTGGGGAGATGAAGGGAAACGACACACAGTAAACAATAAGTCCTGCCTTTTGATGAAGTTTATTGCTGAAAAGGCTCTGCTTCTGCATGCTGGTTTGGCCCCTCGCTCCCCAGCCCTTCCTCCTTGCAGCAGGACAATCCCAGCTCCCACAGTACTGGCAAGAACTACTTTAAAGCTGCACCAGGAGCACAGGGCAAGTTTTAAAAATGAATCATCCTGCGTAGGTTATCCAGACAGGGCTGGAGGAGGAGGAAATTTAAAAAAAAAAAAAAAAGAGAGAGAGAGAGAGAGAATCATCGAAACAGCCCAAACCTGGAAGAGTTAGGTGGCTATTTCTGAAGACTGTTATGGCACAACACTAATTAAAATCAAGTTTATTGGCCACGCTGCCTGCAAGGGTTACGTATGTTGTTATGGAAGGCACGCGCTCCCGCGTGGGTGGCCGTCCCCGACGTGGCCGAAGCAGCGAGCGGGGCCGACGTCCTCGTGTTTGTCCTACCCCACCAGTTCATTGGGCGGATCTGCGAGCAGATCGCAGGGCAGATAAAGCCGGGAGCGTTCGGGATTTCGCTGATCAAGGTAAGCGGCCGCGTGCTGGTCTGCGGGGTGCGGACGGACGCGCTCAGCCCCTCCGCCTGCCCCGCTCGCAGGGAGCCGTGAGGGAGCCCAGCCTGGCCACGAGGAGCCCTTTTCCTCAGGTGCCCTTAGCCTGGGCCCCTTCCCGCTTGAACTAATGCAGAGGGGAGAGGGGCAGGGAAAGGGCTGCAGAAGCTGGTGCTACCACCAGAAAACCCATTCATGAGACTAGGGCCTCTGTTAGCTCTGAGCACGAAGAGCTCCCGCTCCAAAGGCCTCTTCCAAGGACCTGCTCCAGAAGCTGTTCATGGCAGCATTCAAACTGCACAACACTAATAATTTTTGCAGGACTGAAGCAATTTCTATTTTTAATGGACCAAGCAATCTCTGTTTTGAGGCTAGATTATCATAATTGCAAAAGGAGAATGTCCTAATTTTTGCAGGACTGAAGCAATTTCTGTTTTTAATGGACCAAGCAATCTCTTTTTCAAGGCTAGATTATCATAATCGTAAAAGGGATTCATATTTCAGGAGAATGTCAAGCTAAAAGCCAGAGGCAGACTGCAAGCATACAGTCTGCTGCTCCTTCGGTTGACTGCATTACAGGAACTATCGAATTAAAACTGCCAACGAAAGCAATTTAACTGAAGCTTTCAGACTGCACTACCACAGCCCTTCCTTCTCTTTCTATAGACATTATCTGGCAAGTGCAGAATACACTGGGCAGGCAGGGGAGGCAGCAAGGAACCACCTGCAATTCAACTTGTATCTTCAGCATCAAGAAAACTATGGCAGTTCAGTATATACACTCTTAAACAGCAAGGAAGCACACAGATTAATATTTATATCTTAAAAAAAAAAAGCCAACACTCATAGATGTAATTTAATAATTGGTTCCATGCTACCTGATCTTAACCTTAGGACAGTGGGACCAGCTCTAAGGCCTGTTTCACCCTTGCAGGATTAGCCCAACTGCAGCATCTTCTCACTGAAGTGGCCGTGAAGTTGCAGTTGACAAAGCACAAAGCAGAGCACGCGCGAGGTGCTTGCAGGAGTCAAACTTCTGTTGTTAGTATCGCTGTGGAGCCAACCTGGAGGATGATTTAAGGGCTACCCTTGCATCATAGCTGTGGCTAATGGCAGTGAATATAAGCCCTATGTCCTTTAAACTAGGAATAGGGATCTAGCTTTAAAAGAGTTTTTGCCAGTTTTACCAATGCTCTGGTGTTTCCTATTCTATTAACCTGTTTTCTGTGATCATCTTTGCTTCAGGGGATTGATGAGGGACCCGAAGGCCTGAGACTCATATCTGACATCATTCGAGAGAAACTGGACATAGAAATCAGCGTCCTTATGGGAGCCAACATCGCCAAAGAGGTGGCCGAGGAGAAGTTCTGTGAAACCACCATCGGTAAGTGTTGCAAAGAGCAGTTACAGCCACCATTTCTGATTTCACCCCACCTGTGACCAGGATAATATCTCCAGCTGCAACCTGCACCTGAAGTGTGGCAAGTCCAGAGAGGTTTTTGGGTTGCTATGGCATGTGCAGCCTGTGCTGGACTCGTGCAGGGAGGCAGCACAATTTTCAGGGGAGTTCAGTACTGGTGTGATCAGATGCAAAATGACAGCACATTCCAGTGCTGAGAGCTGTTGGCTAACTTCATTCATTAAAAAACTACAGCTTAATCCTATTCCTGGAGGAATTAGCCAGAGACACCCGTTAACGTGCATAAAGCTCCGCTCCAAGTCCTCGGGCAGCTGGATTCAGTGGGCCACGTAGATAGAGAAATCCACCTCGGTAAGGGTGAGCACAAGGAAGCCTCTGGTTGCATCTTTGCCATCTCGGACCTTCTCTGTAAAATAAACAGCCTCCTGTTCCTCCCTCTGCTTCACGGTCCTTGCCAAGACACGGCCCCAGACCCTCCCAGAACTGGGCTGGACCGGACTGGAGAGGTCAGCCAGTAGTTTACAAAATCTCTTCATTTTAAAAACAGCAGAAATCAAAGTCACCTTTGTCAACAGCCAATGAAGACAAAATAAATTCCATGTTGCAATTGCTGCTCCATTGCCATGCAAAGGTTATAATAATAGTGAAAACTGTGCCAGCTGGGCAGATGGTGCTGGCAGAGCGACTGGACAGGAACAGGGCTAGATGTGATTTGGAAAGTTAGACAATATGCATTGCCCGGGGGTGAGTTTAAGCTCTGCTGACCCTATTTTTAGCAATGCTGCGATGACAACTCTGGAAAGAAACTTTCCCCATGGTTTTGGTGCCTCAGAGGGTTTTGCCCATGAGGGGAGCCACGTAACCCAGAAACAATCCCCTCGAGATGGGATGTCCCCAGACATTCCTTAGTGCGCAGGATGGGGAGCAAACACAGAGACAGGGTAGAAACCCCATGGCTACCAGCACACTGTTGCCCAGGCTAACAAAATTCTTTAAACAGGCTAAGAGTAACCATAAAAAATGGAGAGAGCTAGGGGAGGAATTCCGCGGGCGCTCCGTGCTCCCGGTGCGTAGGGACCGTGGCCGGAGGGCAGGGCTGTGTGAGGAGGCCACGTGGAGCAGACACCCTGAGCAGCCTCATTTGTGGTTAGTCTGGTCTCAGGCTCATCTCTCGCAAGGATTGTGGTTTTATGAGCCTTCCCAGGCAGACATCTGCGTTAGGGGCTGCTCTGAAGTGTCGTTAGGCAACGTTTAGTTAATGCAGGGGGACTGGCATGTGGTTACACCTGCTTCCAGCAGCATCATCTGCTGTCAAGTAGCAAATGACTTTTCCAACAATACACAACTCTGTGGATCACAATATCCGAGGCGGCTCCTGGCCCCTTACCTCAAGTTTCCGTTACTGGCACACATTACTTTCACCCTGAAACTTTGGCCAAAACACTTTAACTTTCATTCTTCTTTCTCACAGGCTGCAAAAATGAAAAACAAGGACAGATCTTCAAAGAATTATTGCAGACCCCCAATTTCAGGATTACCGTGGTGGATGACTGCGATACAGTGGAGATCTGTGGAGCCTTAAAAGTTAGTTCTTTCAAACATAATTGTTTTTATTAGGACCCAATTCTGCCCTCACCTGGGCTAATACTAGGTCCTGCTATTATGCGACTAAGTGACCTTGGACAGAGCATGTGCTAGTTTTCCAGCCTGTAGCAATGAAAAAAGTGCCTGTGTAAGTTACAGACAGGCAGAGAAAAATCAGGGCATAGCCCAGGCAAGGATGCAAAAGTAGTTGAAAGTGAAGGATCAGTGCATCCCCACTTGAAACTGGCAGAAAAGCAAAACATTAAATTTAATCTACACAATTATAATATTTAATAAGTTGCTTTTATCTTTGCCCTGGGAATAATAGTGGATTCTTTAAAAGATCTCCTAGGAGTCCAGCAACTTTTGCTTAACAACAGCTTAGAGGTTTAGCTTCTTTAACATAAACTCTGAGCTACCAGGACTGAACCCAGGGCACCTCAGACTTGTGCAGTCTCCCTAAGGAGCAGTGCGTATTGATGAGGTGCATGTCTGATGGGATGGTCTCTCTCTTGGTGTTTTTGTAGTAATTTTTTTTTTCTTTTTTTTAGAACATAGTAGCAGTAGGAGCAGGGTTCTGCGACGGGCTGGATTTTGGTGATAACACCAAGGCAGCAGTTATCCGGTTGGGCCTCATGGAAATGGTGGCCTTTGCCAAGATGTTCTGCAGGGGACCAGTGTCAATAGCCACCTTCCTGGAAAGCTGTGGTGTGGCCGACCTAATCACTACCTGCTACGGGGGACGCAACAGAAAAGTAGCAGAAGCATTTGCTCGCACTGGAAAAGTAAGCAGGTTTTTGAAATATTTTCAACTAAAGCACAAAGAAATCCTTGTGTGTTCTCCACAGGCATCACTAGCTGCGTACCTTTGCAGTACCCGCTGGTGCTGCGGCGGCATTCCCTCTGATCCAAGTAATTGGTCTCCTTTCTTCTAGTCCATTGAGGAACTGGAAAATGAGATGCTGAATGGGCAAAAACTACAAGGGCCTCAGACTTCCGTGGAAGTCTACAAGATCCTGAAACAGAAAAACATGCTTCATAAGTAAGTGCTTTGATTTTAAAAACCTGAATTGACAAATTATGAGTGATTCAGAGCTTCTTTAATAGTACTTGTGTTCAAGGGGCCTGCTCACTCCTGTACCAGCTGCTTTCTACGTGCTGGGGCTCCTCTGTGGTTCAGGTTAGCCAGGCTTAGCCCAGCCAGTTACTGGGACCAGCAGTATGGGACAACAGCCAGAGAACATTTAAACATTTAAAAACAAACAAACAATAAACCCCAATAAGCTTATATGCAACAGCAACAAAATCAAAATTGTGGTATTGCATTAAAAATTAAAAGTCTCCTTGGCAGCACCAGAACCTTGAATTAAGTCTAGATTTAATAAGCTTCCCCGCATTTACACTGTTACACACTTAGCTCCAACTCATTCAGTTATCTCTTTCTTAAGCATGTAATTGTTAAGAGAACTGATGCTATATATATATATATCTATATATATA